CGTTTACAAGCGTGAACAATAACGCATCCTTTGGTCAAAAGTCGCTTTGTTATTTACGTAGCAAGTTGCTCTTCTACGTTTAGGACGTTTAGATTAGAAGAACGATACGATCACACGGCGTTAACGAAGGAGCGATAGAACTTCAAGGAAAGTAATGTGAGAGATTGCGAACAACATGTTTTCCTGAGATCAGTTGGAAGTTGCTCATACGTGTCAAATTTTCTACTTATCCCGACCCCCTTGAATGAGCACTTTTGCTTGAAGACATAACTGCAACGGAGCCTCTTAACCAGTCCCAAGCCGCGTGTCGCTCTATAGATCACAGGATGTGATTGGCCATTTTATCACATTACGTCAGAGGACATATCTACAACAAGAGGACAAAAGTGCAACGGTACACCTGTTACCCCTTTGTACTCGTGTAACCATGTGTACCCTGTATACCCTGTGTACCCTGTGTGCCCATGTGTACCCATGTGTACCCGTTGTACCCTGTGCACCCATGTATACCCTGTGTACCCTGAGTACCCATGTATACCCTGTGTACCATGTGTACCCTGTGTACCATGTGTACCCTGTGTACCATGTGTACCCTGTGTAGCCATGTATACCCTGTGTACCCATGTATACCCTTTGTACCCTGTACCCTGTGTACCCATGTATACCCTGTATACCCATTGTACCCTTTGTACCTTGTGTACATTGTACCCTGTGTACCCATGTGTACCCTGTGTACACCGAGTACACAGGGTACACAGGATATATAGGGTACACAGGGTACACATGGGTACACAGGATGTATAGGGTACACAGGGTACACATGGGTACACAGGGTACACAGGCTATATAGGGTACACAGGGTACACATGGGTACACAGGGTACACATGGGTACACAGGGTACACATGGGTACACATGTTATACATGGGTACACACGGTAAACATGGGTACACAGGGTACACAGGATATATAGGGTACACAGGGTACACATGGGTACACATGGGTACACAGGATATATAGGGTACACAGGGTACACATGGGTACACATGGGTACACAGGATATATAGGGTACACAGGGTACACATGGGTACACAGGATATATAGGGTACACAGGGTACACATGGGTACACAGGGTACACATGTTATACATGGGTACACAGGGTACACATGGGTACACAAGGTATATATGGGTACACAAGGTACACAGGATATACAGGGTACACATGGGTACACAGGTTATACATGGGTACACAGGGTACAGGGTACAATGGGTACACAGGGAGTCTATAAGGAGACTGCCATAACAGTATACATGGGTACATAGGGGTAACAGGGAGTCAATATGGAGACTGCCATGAATTACTTGCCGTTCCAAACGTCCAAGCGAGGGATTCACGGTTAAAATCGACATCGCGACAACGATCGTCTTTTATCACGTTCTGCTGCCGATGGAACCGAAATTATTTTCCTTTTGAAACAATCAGCCTTAATGATCAAAATTCGGTTAATGTGAGCCTTATTCCGAGGTAATATGCATCCAAGGATACTCCTCTTCAGTTGTTATACTGTTGACGTTTCGCAGGTTTTCTCCGCCATTTTGAACCAATCCCAGAGTGCATTGTAGGATACTAGACGCTTCCATGTGGGGCTTCTCAGGGTCAAAAATATTCTTGAAAGTGTTAGAAAACTATTTTTTACATCCTTATAACTTATTCAAATCAAAATTTCACAAGCCCATTATTACACGAGTTTCCGGTACATTTTTTTGCCACACTGTCGTCATATTCAGATAAGAAAGTCGTAAAAACTGAATAGTACGACAAGGGGATTTGCCAGGTTTTCTTGTAGGAGGGTTGGGGTTCCTGATAAAAATTATTCTTGCCCCCTTATTTGAGGTGGCTTGTACCGCTGTATGTCAGTTGGTTCGTATAAAAACGGGAAAAAGGACCGGCCAAAGAATATCTGGTGCAAAACGCAATCTTAATGCCATGAAGTTTCTAGGAATTCGCGCGTTTTCGCAAACCGGAATTAAACTAATCAATCATCTCATAAAGGAGTTGGGATGCGAGGAAAGATCACAGCAGCCTCCACTGGATACTTCCTTGTAAAACCAACACTGGTTTTCACAAAGGTCGGTATTCATTCCCGAAGTATGACCTTCCCTAAACTCACGAAGGCCTCGGCTTTTCAATCTAAGCCTTATTCTTGTATTTTGTTTTTGGAGATTTTCATTCAAAAGAAATCGTTTGATGAAATGTTACGAAACAGCTTTCAACATTAAGAAACGAAAGTTCCATCTGCCCAGCACGGAGTAACAAATGTAGAAAGCTGAATCATTATCGTAACGTAAAAACATCACAATAACAAAACAAGGGCGTAGGTTTAAAAAAAAATCACTTCAATTAAGTTCAGTTACTACAGGAGGAGATGATTTGAAAAAGGTGTGTGAAGGGGCTGTGTACTCCAATTAACAGATAGGTCCACTGTTGCCGCGCGTCTGAAAGGTATTTTAAAAGATTACAGATGACGTTAAAATGTGGCAAGAACAAAAAAGTGGCACAAAGGCGCCGAGTGTTCCACTGATGTTTAGACCCAGTGCACAACATGGAATCCATTTGTTTAATATAATAAAGAAGCAAAAAATTATCGTTTTACGTCTCCTGTGATCTGTAACTGCACAGATACACGGCAACATGGAATACCTTTTTTTAAAAAAAAAAAAAAAAAAAGGAGTGAAATGTTGTTACCCATGCGTCTGTCCCTAAGTAGATCGTAAGGAAGCACCTATATAAATGTATGAATAATTCTGCATGCCATAT